TTATTGAAATCACGTAAAGAAGATCTGTGTTAAGCGATAAAGATTTATATTTATTAAACATTATTTACTAAATTACATTTTAGTAAATACATTTACTGAAATTAAAACAATTTCTTCTCAATGTAGATAAATACGGGAGAGAGAGAGAGAGAAAGAGAGAAAGGGGCAGAGGGAGGAAGAAGTGAACGGACAAAGGGACGAGATGTACGAAAACGCGGGGGTAGTCGAGGAAGGTGGACGTGGATGGTCGCGTTTGCGGTTCGCATTCTGCATAATTACGGCAAATTGGTGTGACGTCGGTACGGGCCGTGTCGCGATGTCGTTGAACCGAGGGACCCGTACCAAATAACAAGACGAGAGCGCATGTTTAGTTACGCGAGATTTCCCGCGACAACAGCCGCGCGATCATGACGACGACGATTGCCGTTGATTCGATGGGATCGGCGAATCGCGCTCTCCGAGCGTCGCCTGGGAATATCCGAGTCATTTTGCGGACTCGGGAACCGCGACCAGCTCTCTCTCTCTCTCTCTCTCTTGATTAGAGAGTCGTTTGCGTTGACGCGAGAGACGACTAGTTCCCGCCTCGTTCGCACCGGGACGAGGACACTCGCTTTTTACGACCGCATTCGCGGGAGCATTAACTGCACGCGGACGAACGACTCGCCGGTTAAGTTTCCGAAATTGTACGCGCCGTAGAAATTGCGAAAGTTTGCTCAGAGCGCAGCGAAGATGGCTGGCTGGCTGACGGTCTTTTCGGGGTAAATCTTCATCCCCGCGTTCTCGACGACGGCGAGGTAGGACGGAAGGGGAAAGTCGAAGAACAACAGAATGATCGAACGCGACCGAGATTTCGTCCTGTTTAGTTCCGAACTAACTTATATTAACTCTCTCGGATTATCTCCTCGCAAGTGGCCCTTATAACCGCCGGAAGATTACAACTTGAGGAAATTGTTCGGCAGACGAGAGCCGAAGTTCGACACCTGTCGAGTCTCGGGACTAGGAGCAGCTACTGCGCGCGGACTCGCCCTTACTATCTCTCTCCGTCACCCGCGATGTGAATCTCGACTCAGTGGGAGACGGAAAAGTCGGTTAAGATTAACGTTCCTCCTCCACGTTCACTGTTATTGCCACCGACCTCCTCGTTTCAACCTCGTCTCACGCCGTTACTCGCCTTTTCTTATCGGAGGTGCTCGCGGCCCCACAGTTTCCCAATTTGCTCCGATTGTAAACATCACGGCTTGATGGCAGCGACCTATGAAATGATAGCGACGGGACCGTGACCATTATCGCGAACCAATGCGCCACGCGATGTCGCGTTGTCGCATTATCGGTACGTTGAACCCCGTATTTCTGCGTAAACGCGCGCACACGCTCGCGTTTCCTTTCAGTCATGACGCAATCATCGTGGAACGGCGCGGAGCAGCTATCCATTTCATCGGGAGATCCTCCGGAACGCGCGTCAGGGTCTGGGCGAGATAAAAATATAACGGCTGCATTTGTCCCAGGCGCTCATTTCTCAGGGATCTTATTACATGGAAATATTACCGGCGGATCTCCCGCGCCCGGACGGCCGCGAGATAACGATTCTTCGCGGCTTTCTCTCCTCTTCATTCCTCCTCTTCTCTCTCTCTCTCTCTCCCTCTGTTTGTATTAGACAGCCGGAACGGGCGTACACCTCATTTCAATGACCGCCTGTATTATTAACGGTTTTTTGTCAGCTTCGGATCCGCCCGACAAAATCGCCGACGAAGCGACAAGACCGGCATTTATCGCCGTAGCGATTCGACGCGCACTCCTCCCCCCCCCCCCCCCCCCCCNCGCTCTTGTGTAATGAAAAATCGCGCGAGCAGGGTCCCTCTTCATTAACACGTCGAGAGCACGCCAACGGTGTGATCGGCGTTTACAACGCCGACGTGTCGCGTCGATACGGGCGCGAATAAAGCGGCATTCGAGTAATCGGGGAGTCACACACGTCGCCGGTAACGAATTGATCGAAGAACGAACGAAATGACGAGAACGCTTCCTCAACCTTTGTTTGTTTGTGTACAGGATCTCTCCTAACGTTGAGATGACTCCTTCACTTTATTAACCCTTTGCACTCGAGGGCTCCGGAGCGGAGCCGTTTAAAATTTGTCTTCAAACTCTGCAAACTCAAATGCAAATAGCAAGAGCGGAATATCCTATACACAATAGTTTTTACGATTTGTCTTTGTCCTTATGTTATGAACTGAAGGTTATTTGCATTGTCTCCACAGCGGAGCCCTCGAGTTTGAAGACAAATTTTAAAAGGCTCCGCTTCGAAGCCCTCGAGTGCAAAGGGTTAACCGAGAAACATGTTGGTTGCCGTATCTATATCAATTTTCGAACTTTTCCTCTGTATATATTTAATTATTGCCCTTTATTAATGTAAAATAAATAATAAAGATGTGCAATTATGCGCTAGTCATGCTCTTTTCGGAAATAAACTCAACGCAGCGGAAAACCGAATTTTTATTGGGAGGACAATCAGCCGCCCTCTCCATCTATAAATAACAAATTATTCAACGGGATAAATATTTAGGAATTACGCACTAATTATGGGTTCTTACATCCGTATAATTTCAATTTTTTTCGGATTAATCGCGGATTAATCAGTATTATCGGAAAGCGTTGATTTTTCGTATTCGATGATACGAAATATGAATATACAGTAGAATTAGAAGGAAATAATGAGATAACGGGATCATTACTTTCTGACTTCGTGTCTCTGAAAATATATTCAGTTCGGGGAACAACGGTGTGCACAGTTGTCAATTGAATTCTCATCTGTAATTTAAAAACCCTGCGCAATATCGGACGCGTATTGGTATCGGATACACAATCGTTAATTCATCTTTCGCGGAGTTAATCGAAATCCGCGCGTCGACGTGCGCGCGCTCTCGTGACTCGCGGATCGTCGCGTGAAATCGCGAAACGACGATCCGCGAATTAAATCGACCCGCGAGCGTCCGCTCGCTCGGCGAATTAAAAATTCGAAACGAATGCGCGCGGGCGGGCGGGCGGTCGGGCGCGACGCATCAATAACGATGTCACTTACCGCAACACCGCCGATTTCAATTACAGATTTTATTCAATATTTATCCGCGAGTTTTTCAACGACGCGTCACCGGCCCCCCTTGTGCAAAATATAAAAGCGGCGCCCCGCGGTAACGCGTGTTTCGCCGCGTACCAGCGTAAAACGCGAAAATAGCTCGTTAAATCGACCAATTACGCGCGCTGTTTGTCTTGCGTGTGTTTCACAGAGTAGCTGACTCTGTGACAAAGCCGCGGAAAGTTATCTCTTTTTTGCAATTGAAACGAGCTCCCCCGGATCCGATAGATTATTTGCCAGACCGCTCATTAACGCCGGTTGATGAAATTTGAGTGATGAGGGGCACAGAGGAAAAATACCGCCAGTAAGGAACATTCCTCGCGTTACGTGTGTTTTCACGAGAGGAGAGAAAGAGAGGGAGAAGAAGGAGGGGGGGGGGAGATAAAGGACGAACGTAATCTCCCGTTATAAAGTTACGTTTCTTCTCAGTTTCGGGCCCTCTCGTATTCTAATGAGTGCCCGTTGCACGTCGCTTTAATATTTGATACAGCCCCGTACAGCTTCGTTCTTTCCTCCTCGACGTAAAAAATCTCGTTACGCGTTACAAGATCGGCGGATCGATTGGCCAAACGGAGCGTAAGAGAGGAAGGGGGGATGGGGGGAGGTGTGGAGACACTCGAAATGAATGTCGCACTGTAGCTCGGCGAGGCGCGTGCTTTTGCAGATGTGCGAATTAATGCGGTTTTACGGATGACTGATTCGATTGCAATTTCGGCGTTCGTTCGCGTCGGTACGCGAGCGCGCCGTCGCGCGAATAGAATGTCACGATGTTAATTGGCCATGTCGGAGAGTTCATCGCGCGGTTAAGCGAACTGCTCTCTCCGAAATCGCGCATTAAACGCGGCCGCAGCCGCTCGCTCCGCGGGTAGCGCTGGGCGTGTGCCGGGGGGGGGGGGGGCCGGGGG